CAAAAGCCACCTGGACTTGTTCCTGTGTGATCTACTCTAGGTGATCCTGCTCTGGCAGGGGTGTGGGACTAGGTGATCTCTAGAGGTCCCTTCCAACCCCCACCACTCTGTGAATCTATCCATCCTGGTTGTTATCACTTCTAGAAGTATGTAAAGAGACCATCTGACCAAAGTTTCCATTTACTTTTGGTTGCTTATGTCACCTGAGATTTTTCTGGTCCAAAGACAACACAGACTATGCTTGATACAGTTTGTCTGTTTAGGAAGGTCTAGCACATTAAGAAGATAATCTTTTCAACCACACATCTCCCTTAGCTACTCACTCCCTCCTTGACTTCAAGAAAGTAACAGTATTTATCCTTCATCAGGAGACAGTTAATTTTTCTGACCTTAGAGATGTGGGAACCAAGTCAGAAAGGAAGAAAAGGTGGTACACTAGGACCCATTCCACTGCTCTTTTCACATCTGGACTCTTGTCTGGCCTGTGTGATTTACTGAGGGGAATAAAGTGAATCTGTGGCAGGAGCTAGGAACAACTATATCAACATTAGACTTGGTGAAATGACCCCTCAACTGCAGCTGTGAATAATAAAGATTATTTCCCTAACCTTTTTAAACTTGGAAGGAAATACTTCTCCAGGCATACTGCTTCCTCTGATGTATTAAAAAATTACCATTAACTAACTGATCCAGGACAAGCTGTAGGCTCTCCTAGTAATGTGAATATGGAACACAGACTGACTGAAATATTAGTAAAAACTAACTAGTGAAGGTAACTTCCATGGATAACGTCCTACCATAAATAGAAAGTAATTCCTGTATGCAAGAACTGAAGAAGGTGACAAAGGAAGAACCACAAATATCCTAGAAGAATTAGCCTGAGGTCCGCTCTTTACCTATTTATCTGCCGAATGACAATGTGATGCTCAGTAAGAAAACCTTAGTTTAGCACTATGAGTGCTGTTCTTATCACTTCTCCTTCAGAAATCTGTTCACAACCTCTCTAAAATACAAACTCCTTGAGTGGACACAAACCAGTTTTGTTTTGGGGTTAGTACAAAAAATTCAGCAGTATTTTGGATTTTCCAAGGAAAGACTCTGTAACAGCATACAGACACAGCTAACCATCAGCCACATGTACTTATCAGTGGCTGTAAGGAAATAAAAGAAACTGGAGATTATACTGCTAATTAATCATTAGTATAATGGTAGTGTTATCTGCAGAACACCGAAGCAGCCCTCGCAGCAGATAGATTCTTCATATTAAGGTCCACCTTTGTTATCTTCTGAGTATTATAATAATTGATTAAAAACATACCTAGCTGATACATCTATTTTCTCCACATATTTAGAGGGAGCAACAAGAACTTACCTAATGCAGCTCATTAGGTAATTATACATACAGTATCCTAATACATTCAACTGAATTTTGAGTCCATCAATACTAAAATACAAATACCACCCTCCCCAAAGTTCACAGAATTAAGAAAATACATTAAAAACTTACTGTATGCATAGGTTCTCAGAAGGAATGTATTTCTTATTCCCACAACATTGTTTACATTCAAGTCAAATTCCACACGGCTATTGGAGAGAAGAAAATAAAATGAACGATATGCAATGTATATACATCATGGTATACAATTTCAGAATATTTACTACCTACTGAGTGGCAGAGGTGGAGAAACAAAACTTGGAAGGTAATACTTTAGAAACTTTCTCCAGAGTTTTGATACTGCGATTTCTATTCTGATTTTGTTCATAGTACTTGAATTGCTTATAGACTTCAATTCCATTTTTACAACAATGGAATTACTGTTTCACATAGAGAATACATGTCATCCTAAGGTCTGAATTTGGATCTACTTCACATATGAATTATATTTTGCATTTTTAACAAATCTTTCTCCCAACTAGATTTGCACTACATGATTCACTACAGACAATTTCTGATGCCAGGAAGGATTCTTTGAAGTATCAGTTTTGGAAATCATGCCAAGGAACTGAGAAGGAGAATCGAAAAGGTCAGAAGGTAAGAATCTGTCTTCTGCAATGATGGTCAGAAGGTAATCAGCAAGCACTTTGAAATTAAAACTGCTTATTAATAAGCACTGCATGTTTTGTGATGAAATAGTTTTGATAAATGTTTCATGCTGTTAAAAGCAAATAAGAGCAAGACAATCAAGCACTACCTGTTTTATGTATATTACATTCTACCCCGAAGTTTGCATATCATACTGCATGTAGATTATTACTATCACTCATATTACTCAAGAAACTGTATTACATTTATAGTTAATAAGCTATAGCAACACTAACTCGCAACAAGAGCGGCCTATTATTGATAAAGAAGTAGCTATCTACAATGTACAGTCATTTCTATTTTATATATCCAAATCTCATTCCCATAGCATGTTTGAATATTACTTTGTATTTCCTTAAATTATTGTAAGGGAAACATGGACCTGGAATTTATTAAACTGGATAAAACATTAATTTGAGACATATGAAAGGTTTTTTGATATCATTAAGTATATTAAAACATTCTTTGCATCAACAATACGACTTAATTTTAAACGTGAATTAATATCAAGCAGACTTTCCATGTTTTAAGAGTGTATTACATAATAGCACAGGAAATAAACAAACTTGAGCAACTGCTTGACAGTTGTGAAAATAAGCACAGACACCAATAAATATAATAATTGTATGTGCAAATGTAATAAAGAACTATGTCAGGCTGCAAATACAGTTCCAATTAAACCCAACAGACAAGATTTTACCAGATGCCAATTAAGCAAGTTCTATTACAGTTATTTTGTACTTTAATATGCACATTTAATAGATTTTGCAATTATGGCAAGTGAAAAAGGTTTTGTACTGTTGGGACTCAAGTTCTACAAGAAGCACTAAAAGAGAAGAAAGGAGTAAACTGTACTTCAGGTGTAGCAGAACAGGAAGCTTTTGCATCCTCTGTGGAGCAGAAATCTTGTTAATTAATCAAAGGCTTGTCTAGTAGGAGAGCCAGCATTGGAATTATTTCCTGGCAAATATTACAAAAAAACCAGGTAAAACTTTAACTGCAATTGATCTTTCCTTACTTTACAGTGCTAAGAAAACCTTTAAAATGAAAAAGGGTAACAAACACAAACTGAATGCTTTCTCGTGTATCAAATCAAAGTAAGGAGGAAATGGCAACTTTCAGGTATCCATGGACCAGTGGCAACACATTAGAAGCCAGGTACAGAGATACCACCCATTAATTCTACCATCTTCTCCCAGCAGCTGGGCACCAAGAAAACTGGCTTTCACAGGAAGCTTATGTTTAGTTTCTGGCTCTAGCTAAAACAAGGGCTGAGTACCCAAAGTACAGAACATCCAATCAATTTTTCAACACCTCTGTGAAAAAAAGAATCAGTGTCCATGTATGTATATGTATGAGCCTACAAAAGACAAGAAGTCGACGAAAGATTGGAAAGGGACAGATACTTAAACAAAAAGACAAAACATGGGTGGAGGTGACAGGTTATATAAGACAGATAACTGCAAATAAAGGAAAAAAAAGAATCTCAAACCAATAAATAAAAAAATTCCAACCCAAAGTACGTCATTCCCTCCATGCTTCCCTCTTCAAAAAAAAAACCCCACCCGCAAGAAACCACATGGTGAACTGTACTGCTTTTTCTCTGAAGAATGTAATGGACACCTTCTAGTCTAAGAAGTTTATACTTGTATTTAGTAGGAAGTAAATTCTTTAAATCTGGTCTGTAAGGTATATGAATATCATGACTGTTACCTTTTTTTTTTTTGCAAGTGACTGTAGAACGCACTATAAATGCTTACAAAAAGACTTCAATCTTCTGACATAATTGCTTCCATACCTGAGTTTCCTTTTGAAGTTTATTTTCTGAATTTAAATTGGAAAAAATCTTCTTGCTATAACACCATGATTTATTAAATATTTGTACCAGGAATTTATCAATTAATTTATCTATGAAAATACTATTGTTGTACGTAGCTAAGCCTTTTAACCCATATTTTAGCTTGAAAAGTTTAAAATTTCAGAATGCATGGGAGAAACAATATTTAGTACTGTTAAATGAGAAAGTTACCAGATAAAACATATTCCATTCTTTCAAAAGGTAGGCATATATACAGTGAAAATATGGGATTAAGTATTTCTGAAAAAACAAATTATAAAGCAAAATGCCTAAAAAGCATTATATAATCATAGATGTAAGAAAAGCTTAAATGGATATTTATCAGTTCAGATTGTTAACATGACAGATTCAGTTTTATCGCAGTAGGCTTCTGCCCTGATAAGGGTATATTGTGATAAAATCACATTGTAATATGCTGTTATAAAGACAGCCCAGAGAAATGGGCTTGTTTGTTTTTAAAAGACCCACAGGGTTGCTAAATTTTAGAATTGTATCAGCAGGATAGAGTTGTTCAAAGTCCTACTTACAAAAAATAGTCAAACTATTTTATTACATGCAGGTGATACACATTTAAGTCCTGCAAAATCTAAGCCCATAAATATAGGAAGAATTGAATGCTACTCAGAGTCCCAACCAACCCGAGTGCTCTGCACAGTTTTTTCTGCTGTCAGATACTTTTATCATACAAGAAGAAATACATTGTTCTCTGTCCTAGTACATCTCTCTCCATCATTCCTTTCTGTGTATTCATAATGAAGATATGAATACAATATCATACAACACACCCACTTCTCTCCAATCACTTTCCCCTTCTAAAGAAAGGTCCTGAGATTAGTATCTAATGCTGAACAGAACATGTAATACTACTCTGTAAACACTCTTTTAGGTAGGTATTCTGTGTATTTTAGAATATACTCTAAAACAAACAAGTTTTTTTAATCAAGAAAACATCACCAAAAGAAGTTAAAGTTCATGAAGTCCTTAAGTAGCTCAGCAGTTACACTTGCATAGCAAGCAAAGTTATCTTTCCCAACTTTTTTCTTCCCACCATTGTTCTTCTGCCATGAATCATTTGTCAGCTGGAGTCCACTATGTACAAATAACCCACAGAAACATACATGATGTTACATGCTACTAATTCGTATCACAGAAACAAAACAGCATCTCAAACACAAGAGGTGTTTCAGGCCATTAAGGAACTAAGCTGACTGCCACTGCATGCCAGCTGTACAAATCTGTGGTATAACTGTAGTAAAACAGAAATAAAGTATGACTTCCGTGTGACTATGTAGAGTCCATTCCCACATCAGCATCTAAAAAAGGATGTTGAACAGAACACTTGCCTGACTTTATCCCTGAACTTCACTATTGGCACTTTTGCTCGAATCAGCTGAGGTCGCTCAATGTAGCCTGCTGAAAGGGAGAAAATAGGCAATTAAGTTTCACATAAGGTGCTGATCTTGGAAAAAAAAAGAACCTGAAGTGGAATCATATTGTCTGATTTAAAGCAAATAGATTATTAAATTTAGCAAAACTGAACTCAGAAGGGCGGTGCTAAACCAAGTAACCTCTAGCAACTGCAGCAAAACTACAAACTAGGAAAGCGTGTGGGGAAAAAAGTACACTAAACATTACAGCGAAATATTAGTGGAAGATTTTTCTATGGGAAGTATATTAAAGAATTTGAACATAAATGCGTTTCTACAATTCTTTCACTGAGCAGTACTTGTAATAGATACCAAATAGCTGTAATTAAGGTTCAAAAAGAAGGGAGCAAGAACAGATCCACCCAGGCTAGCCAGACACTGAAGCCCAGCACTACATAGTAGCAACAGGCACATGATCAGCTGCATACTTTTTAATCACACCTCATTTCTTTGCAGTTGAAGTTATGCGTGTTACTGATAAACATTAAACACAACTATCTTCATTGTGCTGACTCTGCTTAAAGCTTCCTTTAAACATTGTATTTCTTGGTGTGTACTTTATCAGGCCAATAAACATTTTCTATCAAATTGTTACTGAAAACGGGACACTTTACACCAAAGATGGGATAATCTTTATTCCCCTTGTGCTTTAATGGTGATAGGACACACAATAAATATACAATCACAGGACTGCACCTCAGATGATTATCCACACAGTGTAGACACACAGGCTCAATGCCCGACTATCCAAACCTAAACATACTAAGCTCTGCCAGACTCACACAGCAGCACTAAATACACCTCTGCACTAAGATCCCCCAAAATGTTGGGTGAGTCATGTTATCCTCAATTTCTCTATTCTGTATCTCAGGCTGTATTTAACAGTTTCCCATAATCCTGATTGAGAAACGCACCCAAGAAAGTAATGGAAGAGATAAACAGAGCCTGTAGGTTACATGATATGAATTTGGGAAAAAAGCACAGTTTTAGTAATTTATTCTGTTGCAAAATCTAAGACCACTTGAATTTGCCTGTATCCATCATCATACATTTTTCCTTGTTTCTATAAATTAACCTCACATGAGCATAAATAAGTATGACAAATCTAGAAGTAATGCAGACTAAAGATAACTTTAAATAATAGCTGATCTTCACTTTATTGGTTTTTTTTTTTTTAGGGGGGAGGGGCAAGGGGCAGGGTTAGGAGGAGGGAAGGTATTTCTGTCAGTTTGGAAAGCATCCTTGATTAAAGAGTGTCCCCTCCATTGCAACTGGATGACAACTTCAGGTTTGTTAAAAACCTACTTTGCAATATTCAAATTACAACGAATTTTACTTTTTTTTAGACTTTCTGATTATGGATACACATGTTTAGATAGATTGGACTTGAGGTAATCCTTTATCTGGATTTGAATGCATCATATGATCCTAAGATTGGACTTGAGGTAATCCTTTATCTGGATTTGAATGCATCATATGATCCTAAGCAACACACAGGCTGCCACTCAAAAGAGGTAAGATTATTTACTAATTTTAAGAGAAGAATCTTATAGTTCACGTTCACTCGATGTACAATCTAGGCCCAGTCTTTCTAGCTGCACCTGCAGACACATCCAAGCATCCCTCCAACATCCCAAAACATTCTTAAAAAGATGCAAAACATGTAGCGCTCTCTGCCTCCTTTCCTTTCGCTATGAAATTTAAGACAGAGACCCCCAACACATCAGCACGTGGTAGACAACAGTGGGTGTCTATCTGCACGCCATAGCAATTCAACTTTCCTCACTATGACCTTTCTCAAGTCCCTTCAAAAGTTAACTGAACTCATTCCAGTGGCAATCCAATTCTTACCCCATCCCTGTCCACAAATGCTTCCCAACACTTGAGGGTTGCTTGTGCCAAATTAGTTGGCTAAAAACAAAAGAAAACACCTAAATCCCCAAACATAATCCCAATCTGTTTCCCAGGGTGAAACAAAGCAGAGGATGTTACAAGGCAGCTGGTACCCTCTTGGCTCACATTGGTAACACTTAATAGAACCCCTGTTGTACATTAGATTGTCATGCATACAAGGGAAGAAAACAGCCACAAACACGGAATGTGGAATTCTGAAATACATACAAGTTGAGTGAGTGCCTTCATAAAATAACTATCGACTTAAAAGCTATGGCCAGAGGAGCTACACTAAAAAAAACTTGCAGGGAATTCCACACTGCTGCTCCACAGTTTCAGGCAGACTTATGAAAAAGTCACACATACCACTACAGCTGTAGTGAAAAAAAAATAACCACTTCAAAGATGACTAAGCACTGCTTCATAAATAATTTATTCATGCAGAATTTCAGATTAAAACAGCTTAAATCACTCTCTTCTTTTACCAAATAAATGATTAAGCAATTGTACCACATATTAATCCTAAACATGGTATATACCAAAAACATCTGTGGCATCCTGCCTATGTAGCCTGGTCTCTTGATAGGGTCGTATTATACAGAAAGAGACACTGGGCAACAAAAAAGTCTGAATTGAGAGTCATGAAGAATCTAGGAGGATGCAAGCCAACAGGATGAATTAGTTGATGATGTTTGGAATTGACTCACCCAGCTGCACAGTCCCTCAAGATCATTTGAGTTCAAGTTCCCTTACTTCTCCTAGCTGTTGAACGTTAACCTAGTCTCAACAGTTGTCTAGTGGGTATCAGAGGGGAGTCTTGCCTAACACTACTGCATCTCTTTGCATAACTAAGAGAAAACGAGCTCTTGCTACTCACTCAGACAGTAAACACCAGTCAACCCAATAACGCCAAGTTGTTTTTGAAATTAATCCTCCCTAGACGAATCTGAAGAGAATAATCTGTTTGACATTTACTCTCAGTAGTTTGGATTTTACACTCTTTAGTACACTGTAACAATTATCACCCCAAATTCACATTTTACATTTCCGAAATACATTGGCTTGAGAGTACAGTTCTAGGAACATTAGACAGTATTGTAAAAAAATAGATAACATGCAGGTATCTGAACAAATACGTTGAAAGTTAAAGGTATCCTGGTCATCTCTGAAACAGAAGATACATTGCTGCTATCCTTACCTCCCCCTACTCTAGGAGAAAAATGTCATACAACTTTAAGATTAACAAGTCCCACAAAAATAGTGAATAAGTACCATCAGCTTTAAAGAACACATCTTCATTCCAGTCAGTATTCTAGAGCTAGAATGACAATGCAGAAAAGACACTGCTCTAAGACTTTAAATCTGATGGGCACAAATTCCTTGCTCACACTTGTTACCTTTGCAAGCCTGAAATTGAAATAAGCTGGACTCATTTCCCAAACCTCTTAAAATTAAACACCAACCTAACACACACAGTTAACCGTATATAAAGGATAAAAAAGATGGCACTTCAAGATCTGAAGATGATTCACCTAAAAGATAGACAAGTTGTGAAAGAAACTGATCTAATCTGCGCTTGTAATGCTTCCCGATTTATCAATCATGGAATTAAGGTGAATAAGGAAAGAATCACTCTTCTAGCCCTTATTTTGCCATCTACAAGAACATCACAGGGTGCAAGAACAAAGAGGAAGATGTTAGGAGAGGCACAGCTAGAACAAAAACTTCTCCCAAGTTTATGAAATGGTTATCTGGAAAAAAGTTAAAAAAGCTCTAGAACACTACCTAACCACAAATCTCCTCTGTATTTCTCATCCTTCAAGTCTTTCACAAAACCAGCCTAAGAACTCCACTTTAAATAACATCTTATCTTTCCTCCCCTTCTTGTTTCTCTTACATCTTGGCACATATTTAGCTTTCATGGTTTTTTTTCCCATTCTCTTGTGTGAAGCAAGGAGTGAGTTTAATGACAGCAAGCACACTTGCTGAGAACACGCTGCAGTTTTTCTTCCACAGAAAAAGGAAGGAAATACTTAACTAGTAGTGTCAAAGAGGCATTACCTTAACATTACAGGATAACATCATGCATATTGACTGAACAGTACAAAACTCAAAAAAAACGACCAGAAGAAGCTTCATACCTTTTAGGTTGTTAAAAGGCACATACAATAAAATACACAATACTGTTGGAATGAAACTGCAATGCTTAAAGAAGCTTGGTACAGACAAACCTTACACTCGTGCTTGTACACAGAGGAGCAACATATGTGTTCTGCTAACCCTTCAGAAGTTGCAAATCTAGCATTCTGGTTCAAGTTGAGGTAACATCTCAAAAGAGTTATAATTTCTGTAGACTTTTTCTTTTAATATATGTACTTGTACCCTTGATGATTAAGCAGCAGCTGACTTCTGAAGCCAGTAGAACGTAGGAAATCAAACTGCAGTTGTCATAGAATGGTTTGGCTTGGAAGAGACCTTAAATATCATCTAGTTCCAACCCCCTGCTACGTTCAGGGACACCTTCCACTAGACCAGGTTGCTCAAAGCCTCATCCAGCCTGGCCTTGAACACTTCCAGGGATGGGGCATCCACAGCTTCTCTGGGCAACCTGTGCCAGTGCTTCACCACCCTCTCTGGGAAGAATTTCTTCCTGATATCTCATCTAAATCTACCCTCTTTCAATATAAACCCGTTACCCCTTGTCCTGCCACTACAGGCCCTTGTAAAAAGTCCCCCCCAGCTTCCTTGCAGGCATTCTATTAGAAAAGAACTCAGCAGCCAACCTGGCACGGACAATGAACAGCCATTTTTCTAAGCACATAAACCTGACTCCACAAACACACATGAGTGCCAACAGGACACCACCAAAGCACATACTGAGAAGATTGTTTCCCTAGAGGCAAAGAAAAAGCATATGAATCCATTAGCTTCTGAAGTCTAGCCCCAGGGAACTTTCTCCCTGTCCCCAACCAAAAGCAACCCACAAATTACAGGTGACAGGACATTACATTTGCCTAAACAAGCTTTCCTCAAAATAAGTGGGCAGTCCCCTTGTTTCAGAAGTACTGAACCTTAGCAGAGTTGAGCTACAGTTTGTAAGTGAACTAAATCGAAATGGAAAGACCCACATAGCAAAGCCTTTTCATTCTGAGTCTGGCAAACATTTCCAATTAACTTCTCAGCTCTATCCATAAAACATCCATACAGAGACACAAGGACAGACAGCTAGGTATAGGAATTCAAGCCCACAGTGACATTAAGACTATAGAAAGATGACCTAAGAGGTCTACATGCCACAGCTACGAAAGTTTGGCAGAAGCTGTAATATCAGCAGTGTTTTGTCCTGCCTCACCTTCCAGAGAATACTTTGATTAAATGAAGCTGACCAAAGGGGCTTGCAACATAACAGAGAATTAGGAAAGCATAAAAAATAAGCAATGGCACAAAGAAAAGCCTTCAGGGATCACTAATCCATAACCATCATGTCTTTCTGACACTTGCATACTCTGGCATGTCTCTCTGGTAATTGTCTTCCCTAGCAAACAAAGCTGATTTTGTCTGAAGTTGAGTCACAGAATACAACCTCTTGAAAAAAGAAGAGGGTGACAGTTTTAGATGATCACCTTCTGATATCTGAAAACAACTATTTTATCACTGTGCTTCTCCAAGCACGGGAATGACTTGCATCCTAAGCAAACCCAGACTAAGTTTTGGATATTTTATGCAAACATCAATACAACAGTAACAAACCACTAAATATCAGATACCTAGTTGCAATGGATCTATCAAGTCTCTCTCAAGTGAGCTGTTGAAATCTGGGTATGCACACTTGCCAATGAAGAAATTTTCAAGTCTCCATTTAAGTTTATGGTTTGTTCCTTTTATAATTGCAGGATTGTTCAGAACAGCAAGATAAGCAGTGGCATCACAGATTATATCACAAGTCTGAGAAGTAGGGGGACACAGTCGTTGTCATCAATAAACAGGGTCTTTTGACAGAATGGCACAAAAGCCTCTTTGAAGTACAAGGCTTTCATGCTTAAGTCAAGAACCACCCATATGAATTCTTCACCTGAAGGGAGTCTAGATAACAAATTACAAAACTATGAATTGACCTATTTCTCCTATATATGCTGGTACTGTCAACATTTAATATTTTCTTCACTAGTCACCTAAGTTACTTATTTCACCAATATAAAGACCCCACCCCCAAAATCAGTTCTACACAGTCTACTGTGACATCTTATTTTATAAATTCTTAAGACTATTGTCTCCAGAAAGGCACCACAATCTAAAGGAGCAGTATGAGTTCACTAACACAGGTTTCCCAAGCAGAAAACTACTTCCCCACCCCCACACTGTAGTCCACAATTCAAAAGTCATTTTAGATGCTACCTGTTCTTGAAGTCAACTAGTTTGCAAGGTGACCATTATGTTTTGCTAATTGCTACCCATCAGCACCACAATAAGTAACATTAGTAAATTGCTTTTCTCCAAACAATACTGTGATTAGAAGCTAGACAAGATGCAATTATGTAAGTCAGTTACATTAACACTTCTTCCAGAATTGCCAATAATCTTACCACCTCACTGTGGCTGGGAACTTACAAAGTTTAGTACTGAAGAGCTTTTGGACTAAGCTGAGTATACGCCTTGCTTCAGTCTTCTGATTTACCTGAAATATTAAAGAAAAAAGGTGGAATCTCATTTATATGTTTCAAGTAAGCATACTTTACTATTCAAATAAAAAGTATTAATTCTGAGTAGGAGATGAACATGTGTACCAACACATTCCACAGCCTACTTACACATACAATGCATCAAAAGCCAGACAGAACAATTCATACTCAATATGCAGAGTCACAAATCATAGAACTTGATGAAAACCCAGCCCCACTTACACAAGTGTCCTTTCCTTCCTTTTCAACGATGCTTCAGTTCTTTCAAAGATATGCTCTATTTAGATTTCTGTTGGTACATCTTTTCTCTCAACTTAAGCGTACTCAAACATTTTCTCTCACCATAAGTACTTAACATGCTTTGTATATCAAATTCCTTCTTGTGCCTGCTCACTGAAATTAGTGGCTATGAATCTCAATAATGATTATATTTCTAAATGTACTTATTAAATGTTGTTCTGGCATCTACAATGAATTGAGTTCTCTAAACAACCTTCCTTGTGATTCTAGGCAATTTAATTCTGTTTTGCTATGCTTTTTTCACTTACGGAGTGAAGGTAATGCCTATTTTCTGAATGTTTTGGTGGGTTAGAGGGTTTATAGTGTTAAATTAGTATTTGCAACATTACTGGACCCACAGTTCACAGCTATTATGAGTGCAAAAATACGTTAAGTCAAAATGATTTGACCATTTGTTTCTCATTTTAAAATCCAGCCTTATAAAAATCACATTTTTAAAACAGACTTTGTTTTAATTATAAATGCTTTATATTACTTACTGGTTCTTCTTTCACCACCAGGCACAAGTCAGCATCACTGCTGCGAGTGCCAAATCCATTTAGTGAGGACCCAACCAAAAAGAGTCTGCTTTCTGTAATAGAAGAATCACAGAATAAAAAAAATGATTTGACATATGTGCTGATTTTAGTCAGGACAGAGTTAATTTTCTTTGCAGTAGCTGGTATGAGGCTGTGTTTTGGATCTGCCCTGAGAACAGAATGACAGAACAGTTTGGGTTGGAAGGGGCCTTAAGGATCATGTAGTTCCAATGCCCCTGCCATGGGCAGGGACACCTTCCACTAGACCAGGTTGCTCAAAGCCTCATCCAGCCTGGCCTTGAAGATGGCCAGGGAT